ACCTCTCCCCCTACCACGGGCCTGAGTAGACTGTGGACCTGGTCGGGGAGCACGGACTGAGGGCAAAGAGGCTGCTGTGAATCCTGAAGGCTGAGCTGGTGTACCTCTGCCTAACCCCAGGCACCGGCTAATATAATGTCCTGTCTGCCCACAATGAAAATATAATGCACTCGAACCCGGATAGTCCGCGGTAAAATAGTCATAACCTTTTACTACAATGTCGGTTTGATGTGAGATTTCTTTGGTTGCAAACTAGACTCATAGACCTTTGATTTGGTAGGTTGTGAGTCCCATAACTCTTTATATATTGGAAGAAATGATCTGATACATTTGACCCAAAGTTTAGAAAATTTATTAGAGAAATTTACGATAACTTTTGCCGACCTTTATTTTGCAACTTGCTTGACTCCAAAACTTAACATGTGATCAGTGTGATAGTATAATACCTCATAACACATTATTCTTAGCATATTATACACTCTTAGTCTTATCCCATAGGTGCAAGTTAACTTAAACCTTCCGAACGCGCGGGGTGCTACCCGAGCCATTTCTTTAACCATGAACCTTTGTTTAAGGGATTCCTTTGACTTAAAGCTTTAGTTTAGTTCCTTGATATTACCACACATTTTCAGTCTTATTCTCCCAATGTGCTATACCCAATCATATATACCTAATATAACTACGCCACGTTACGTATATTACGTAAGAGAAGAGAGAAACACTTGGGGTCTCACAGAATACATGTAAGCCCGATTGTTTTTAGTCCCAATCAAGCTGATTATATTCCATCATGCTTCATTCGAACAATGATTGAGGCAATATATATCTTTTAAACTCATGCGACTGAACTTAGAATGAAACTCTCAGATGCCTACGCACCTCGGTGAGGAGGATCAAGTCATACCGTAGTTCAGAATGGGTGAGTTTTTTTTATAGGTCGTCGAAAGAGGCAACCTATTTTTTTGTTGTTGGGCCGTACATAGTTTATACTCTTGCGGGCCAGGAGTAACATTCAGTTTATGCTCTTGCGTTAAGGAATGTAGTGACTTGCAGTTTATCCCCTATTTTGATGAGCTTTGCAACTTGAATACTTTACTCAAATTTTGAAGAGCTTCATGACATGCAGTTTAGACTCGTGCATCTAGGAGCGTTGTAATTTGAAGAGTTAGCTTACAATTTGAAATGCTTCGCAACTTAAAGACTTGCTCAATTTTGAAACTCAATTTTGAAGAGCTTCGCAACTTGAAGTTCTGCTCGAATTTAAAGAGCTTCGTGACTTGAAGATTTAGCTCAAAGTTGAAGAGTTTTGCAACTTGAACACTTTGCTCTAATTTAAAGAGCTTTACAACTTGAAGATTTTGCTCGAATTTGAAGAGCTTTACGTCTTGAAGTTTGGCTCGAATTTGAAAAACTTTGTGATTTGAAGTCCTTGCTCAACTTTGAAGAGCTTTCGACTTGAGTCTTTGCTCATATTTGAGGAGCTTTGCTACTTGAACACTTGCTCGAATTTGGAGAGATTTATAACTTGAAAACTTTGCTAGAATTTGAAGTGCTTTGCGGCTTAAAGATTTAGTTCAAAATTAAGGAGCTTCGTGACATACAATATATGCTCATGTGCCAAGAAGTATTATAACTTGTAGTTTAGACTCGTGCGTTGAGGAGCATTATAACTTGTAGTTTAGGCTCGTGCGTTGGGGAGCATTGCAACATACAGTTTAGGCTCGTGCATTAAAGAGCATTATAACTTGCAGTTTAAGCTCATACGTTAAGGAACATTATAACGTGCGGTTTAGGCTCGTGCGTTGAGGAACATTATAGCTTGCAGTCTAGGCTCATGTGTTAAGGAGCATTATAACTTGCAGTTTAAGCTCGTGCGTTGAAGAGCATTATAACTTGCAGTTTAGGCTCATGCGTTAAGGAGCATAGTGACAAGCATAGAATCTTCGGTTTCATTTTCGAATGAAAACTTGCCCCCATCCTCGCCTTCTTGTTCTTCATCTTCGTCGTAAGGCTCAAAGACAGGTAGCCCTTAGTCGGTACTTATGGCCATATTTAGTTCCATATCATGAGCACGAGTCCCTAGTTCTTCAAATGTTTTGGGCTTTATGCCTTGTAAGATATAGCAAGGACCCCAATGCATGCCTTGAATATGCATTTCGATGCCAGAAGTTTCACTAAGACGATCTTTGCAGTTGAGGCTTAAGCTCTTCCAGCGGTTGATGAAGTCAATAACTAGCTCATCCTTTCATTGATGAGCGTTTGTAAGTTTGATCATGCTTACGATGCGTCTTGTGCTATAGAAACGATTAAGAAACTCCTGCTTTAACTGCTCCCAACTATCGATGGATCCAGGTTCGAAATCTGTATATCAATCGAATGCATTACCTTTGAGAGATCTAACAAATTGTTTGACAAGATAATCACCGTACGTTCTAACATTGTTGCAAGTTTCAACAAAGTGCACTACATATTGTTTCGAATTTCCCTTGCTGTCAAATTGTTGCAACTTAGGAGGTTGATAACCAGCATGCATCTTCAAGTTATCAATTCTTTGCGTATACTGCTTTACATATGTGAGAGATAATTTGGACGACGACTCAGGTTTATCTTTGATAGCCTTCATGATGAAGTCCTTCAATTTCTCAACGGGAATTAGATCTTCAGCGGAGACTTGGATCTCCTTGGTTGTCGTTGCTTGCTTTTCAGAGGAGTCTGATTTCTCTTGTAACCTTTTGAAGATTTAAAGGTGTTTGTATGGATTCTCCTTCTACTATGCTATCCAACTTATTTGTTAACTTGGAAAGTTTAGTATCTTGATCTTGCACGCGCTTTGACAAGCCTTCAACTGCTTTTGTCAAATTGGCGAGTTGTTCTTCTACGGTAGAAACTTCAATAACCATTGCTTGCATCATGTCCTTAGAGGATGAAGAATAAAATAAATTATTATTGGGATAAAGCTTGGAGGTCGCATTAATGGAGACTAAAGTAGATCCAGCACTCAAGTTATCATCATAAACATGCATGAAAGGTTTCTCAGACTTCGATAAACTAAGTTAGGCAAGAACCTTTTCAATCCTTTTGGTGACATCGTTCCCTTTTTGGGTCGTGCTTGTAGAGGATCTTGCTCCTTTTGAAGATGAAGATCCAAAAATAGGGGTTGACGTGGACGACACTTGGAGTGCTTGTTGTCCTAAAGAGCTTGCTTTGCTCCTTGTAACTGGTCCAAAACTTCCAAAGATAACATCGAGGATGCTTTTCACATCAGCATAGAACTTGGAATTAGCAGCCTCACTGGAAGTTGATTTGGAGTTAATTTTCTGTAAAGCGATTTCGATGTTCTTGAACTTTGGTGATTGAAAAGATGAGATGAGAGGTAGATATCGTCCCATTGGGCGTGCCAAAACTTGTAGACAATAAATTCCGTCGAGAAAATAAAATCAAGACCGAAAATATTGTAACAATCGTAGTATTTGATTTCAAATAATTTGAGTGTACAATCTCTATGAATCCTCTGATTCTTCTTTCTAATAGTAAATAAATCCAAGGGCCTTTGAGCTTGATCTTGAATATGTAGTTGTTGCCACGAACGATGATCTTGAATTCAATTAGCACGAACTTTGATTTGAACTCGTACTCCTTGAATCTTGATTTGTTCTTCGTTCTTGAGCTTGAACTTGATTTGTTATTAGTTTTTGAGCTTGATTACTTGAACTTGAACTTGTGACGGAATTTGCAGCGTTTGATCCACGAGCTCTTTCTTACTTCTTATTATAACTTCTGGTGTCTTTTCTGGATTATAAAAACCCTTATTTATAGCTGTGGGAGGGAAGAGTTATGATAAAAATAAACTCTTTCCGACCAATCAAATTGAAGTGTGACAAGACCACATTTGATTGGCCAGAACATGTCACTTGCACACGTGGCCCAATTTTATTGGCATTTTAATGTGACTTCGCATGCCTTGTCATTTTGAGACGTGGCATGATCCTATTGGCTCTTCCGTTTGACTTGGCGTGCCACGTCATTTGACACGTGGCACTAAAACTGGGCTTCTAGGAAGATGACATATTGGGCCTAATGAAAAGGGTTCATCATTTGTAGCCCAATCAAATGGGCTAGCCCAGTAGATTTGGACCCATTTATTTAACACATATGTGTTTGACTAATATAATTAATCTAACTATATTAGCCCGTAATATTTATTTGGACTAATATACCTTGAATTTAAAGTACAGTCCAAATAATTTTATGGATTTAAATCCAATAAAATTTAAATGTCTACAACTAGTTTAGAAAGATAAAATACAGAAAGAGAAGAAGAAAACAATCAACAGATCAACTTATAGAAAAAACTCATCCTCTCAATACGATAGGGTAAGAAATGGCCCCAAGAGCCAAGATGTACAGTAGTTGTAGTTGTGGAAATGAGGATGCTCTGTAACTCTCAGCAAAGTTTGATTCTCTGCCCCCAGCTGCAAAAAAAAAAAAAGAGAAAGATAAACATATTATTAATGTCTAGAGGAAGAATTCTAAATGATGGTTAGCTAGTGACGAATTTAACTATGAGTGAGTTTATTCGTCAGAATCAGTAATTCGAGACTGAACCATATATATGTATATATGAGCCAAAAACACGTTCAAATACAGTTAGATATACATTTTAAAACTCTTCTTAACTTAGAACTTACATTATATCTTAAATATTTAGGACCTGGCGACAGAAGGATGACGGTTTTTTATTGGGAACGTAGCGTAGAAAGGGGTTCTTCCGCAGTGAAGCAAATGATCTAGCCAATCATTCTTCTACCGATTATCCAAGTTCGGTATTCTGTAAGTTCCTAGGTCATAGCGAAATGACTCCATTGAGAGTAAGATCTGTTCGATATGTAAGTGGTATAGTCACTACTTGTAAGGCAAGCCCTATAGACACCTTACTACTTTCTAAGCTTTCTCACTTGTCTCGCCAATCTAGTATTGCCATATAAGAGAACTGTCTTTATGGGTATAATATCTTTGAAAGATATCTTTCCCTTCTTTCACTACGCCCTTTCACTCTTGAACTACTTGAACAAGGAGGGCAGGGGGTGCTATCGTATATAAGAAAAACTGCTGCATTTTGGCAGCGGTTAGCTCTCTCTCTAACTAGAAATTTGATAAGAGAAATGCGAAAGGATTGCAAGCTAGATTCAAGGTATGCCAGTTGTCCACGGAACTTTCAAGATTGGTTGAGTCTTAAGTGTACTTTAGTAAGAGTATGAAGGATCTAGTGGCCGTAATTATCTGTCCACTCAAGGCGTTGCAAGCAAATGATTTTTGAAAAGCGTTAGAAATCGTGGTCAACATTTTTCCAGTGCTTCAGCGGGCTTTGGCCTTTTTTTGTTATAGGTATTTAACCGGTTCGAAAGATAAACTATCAGTCAATGACTAGCAATAAAATTTTGTGTACCCTACTCAGTTTTATCCACACTAATAGTAATATTTGAAGGAAACATTTTCGGACAACTAATTATTTGAAAGAAACATTGAATATGTTCACACATTACGTTGACCGAATATAGTAAAGTGAAGAGAGTCCATTTTTAGATCATATTAAAGTGTAGCTAGTGAGAATAATCATCCGAAATATCTCCCCTGCTATCCCAGTGAGTACAAAATGTAGTACGTATAAAAATACTTTATCATAAAATTAAATACGGTTTGGATATTAAGAAGAAAAAAAAAGGTAACCTAATTAGTTTCATACCAGTAGTCATAGTGTAAAGAGTTTAACTTCTGTGTATATCAAATTAAAATAATCTACAATTACATTTAACTTTAATTATATAGTAATTCTAATTTCATTACTTAAAAATGTACGTAGCAAATAAACAAATTACCTTGTTAGTGTACATTCAATGGTGGAGCTCGCCTGAAAATTCCACTATTTTGCTAGATAATTCTTTTTATTTTATGTATATTTACTATGACTCCACTTGACTTTTCGATGTATCTAATTATTTATATTTTGACCCCCAAATAAAAATTTTGGATCCCCACTGTGTGTACATTAGTTAAATTGTAAAGTGATTAAATTTGACAAAACCAGAAGAAAGGATTAATTATGTCTCACTTACCACAATCTCTTGTCGAGTTACTAGTGCTTGAGCAAATACATTGTGCCATCTCAGTCTCCACATCAAATCCACAAGTTCCACCAGATTTATCACAACGTTCACATCCTGTATCCGGAACACTAAATGACAACTTCATCCCATAAAGCCAATCCAAAGGTCCAACTCCCTCCAATTTATCCGAATTATACACACTCGTATAATGTGTACAATCCAATATATCCATACTCATATATTTCACCGTCTCATAACTCGTAAAACAACAAGCCGGTGTACTATTTGACAGCAAATGAAACAACTTAAACGAAGTGCACGATCCGTAAAGTTCGTCACAAGAATGACCAGAGAAATTAAAACAGACTGACTTGTAATGGTTAAGAACTGGTGAATCAATAGAGCAATTCATGAGAATGAAAATTGTATCAGGTGAAGGTGGGATTATAGCTGATTGAATTTCTGACATTTTGAAGTCATGGTGAGGTTGTAAGATAGAACAAGTGGACATCGACGGATCGAAAATGGTCATAGTTTTTTTGTCATAATCTATGGATTGGACTTTGTAATTTCCTGATGGTGTTAGGAAGAATAAATCAGTGGCTGAGCAATTTAGCATGTGGCGATATTGTGGCGTGCCACAACCATCGTCGATGCTAAATGGGTAATTTATAGGAATGTTGTTACAGAAATTGCGACATGTTGAGAAAATTTGCTGGGATTGTGATAGTAGCAAAATGAGGTATATTGTAAGATGGTTGAAGCTGAAAAAAGGTAATCTTAATTGGTTTGCCATTGCTAAGGATTTTTACTTTGAAAGAAGGTTTTAGATGTAAAAGAATTGATGTCCTACAAGAGTAACTTTTTCACACGCAGATTACGAAGATTTGCTGAAAGCAAATGGTAAGCAGCTGTCCGCAATTTTCTCTATTATTAACAGTTGCTTTTTTGACCGTTGGCGCGCCGTTTCACTGGCTTTTTATGGGCTCCACACTGGAAAAATCAAGTATTCGATGATCAAGGAATGAAGAATTCTATTTTCTCCTTTAAGGAAGGATTGAACAAGGAATGAAGAATTCTATTTTCTCCTTTAAGGGAAGGAATAAAGGATTACCACTTTAAACGTTATAGTCAAATTCAATGTTTACTTCTTCTTTTTTAAGTCACTGTATATTGATTGTACATATGCCCGGCTATTTATAGTATAAGAGATTAGAAATCGACTATTTGGGTTAATTCTTCGTTTCTTTTCTCCTCTTACCGTTCTGTCCACAATAAGATTTTTTGGCCTATGCTCATTATGTAGATCTTTTTCTTAAGCTACATAACTTATAGGTTCGATCTATATACTTAGATTATACTTGGGAGTTTTTCTAACGGTTTTTTTTTTTTGGGGGG